TAAAATTTTCATACCTTTTCAGTATTTTTATCATAACTTTTATCTGTGCAAAAAAGTCAGTACCAGCAACCACAAAGCCCGATAGGAACCACGTGTGAGTAGACATTTCATAGCTGACTCAGCTATTTAAGCCAGTGGAAGGGTTTAAACTTGTTTCTCGCGTATTTCGAACTTGAACTTATTATGTATTTGAGCAAAGCCGCTCTGTTATTTTGTCAACTGAGCTACACATCCAAAAACTCTACCAAAAGTTTTGTTATCTTGGTATATACCAAAACGTTCACAGATAAATGTATCAGCAAGACCACTTTATTTTTATCTTTCATCTTTTAGATGGTGTTTATTTTTTTTATAAGAGGTGTTAAAGTCTGAAATCTGATCTCGTTTCTGATTTATAAGAGGTGGTGTTAGAGTCTGAAATATGGACCAGTAAGATTGTTTGTTTTTATATCTGTAGTCTGAAATTCTAATCGATCAAAACAGTGCAAAAATATAAAAGACAATAGTTTTTTTACAAAAGTATAAAAGATAAATAGTTTATGCTAACAAATATATTTCAACCCCCAACCCAAACCGTACGGGTTGGTCGGGTTGGTACATTAAAATATTTTTCTAACCTTAAATATGTTATTTCTCTTTTTTCATCATCAACCATTTGATACAACTTATTTATACTTCTTACATATATCACGTGCATTTAATTTTTTCAATTTACATATATATGTTCACAGTTACTGAAAATACATAAGAATGAGTTATATAGAGAAAGCATGAGAGATGATGTAAAAATCTCCAAATTTAGAGAAATCCCCAAACATGATTATCATAACAGATAAGCATTATTTTATTATATCCCACCAATAAAAAAATCTTGAAAATTAAATGTTTAGGTGAGAGAAATAATATTTTATTAAATTTATAAAATATTTTAATAATACAATGAATGTTGTAATTTCAAAAATGGAGAAGCTGTTGGAGTTGAATGCAATTTTTAGAGATTTTGAATTTTAATTCTGTAATTTGGAGAAATTTTGAAGAATCTGTATTCTGATTGGCTGATTTTTCAAGATGTAATTTTTGGTTATTTTATATTTTTCATCTAGTTTTTGTTAAACGTAATTTGTTCATCAGATAGCTTGCTTAACACAACCTAAATAAAACGTAACCTAAGATTTTTTTTTTCCCATATATCTAAATTAAAAAATTAACGAGGCGCATAGATAGATTTATAATGTCCAACATGGGTGGTGTCCGATTGGTTTGAGTTTGGACTTCAAATGTCAAAAGTGTCTGGAAGTCCCAAGTTCGAATCCAATGTGGAATAAAAATCCCCTTATGGCCACAGAGGTTCAAATGCAGTGACACCGAGCTACCCGCGAAACGGATGGTCGCCATGAAATTAATCGGCTCGTATAATGAATTACATATTCAGATTAATTTTTTTTTAAAACTAAGAAAAAGTACATTTGTCACATGATCAAACTTTTAAAATTATTAACGATTTTGAATGACAACAAAATAGAGAAAAGAAAAGGGTCCATCTATTTGTTCCTTACCTTGTAAGTTATCCTTTTTGAGCTTGCATGGTGCAACTATGACTGTATATCAGTTGGGTTTGAAGGTATTTGAACAATCCAATTTAATGTATGTGTTTTGAAAAAACCCAATTCAATTCAGGCTGTATGGTTTGGATTGGGTTGATCTGGTAGAATATTTGATACATTATCTATACTATATTATAAAGTATTTGACAAAAACTCTTAAAAATCATTTTTTATGCACGAAATATTGTTTATTGATGCATATTACTTACAATTCAAGATTACACATAAACTATGCGTAAGTACAACTTATTAAAGCTTCATGTTTGAATTAGCATCCAAAATTCATTCATCTTTAATTTTTTCATACCAATTCAACTCTAAGGTTAATTTTTCCAATTTCAGTATTTCTATCAGAACTTTTATCTGTGCAAAAAAGTCAGTATCAACAACCACAAAAGCCTGATAGGAACCACGTGTGAGTAGATATTTCATAGCTGACTCGGCGACTTAAGCCAGTGGAAGGGTTTAAACCTGTTTCTCGCGTGATTCGAACTTGAACTTATTATGTATTTGAGCAAAGCCGATCTGTCATTTTGCCAACTGAGCTACACATCTAAATACTCTACCAAAAGTTTTGTTATCTTGGTATATACCAAAACGTTCACAGATAAACGTATAAGCAAGACCGGTTTATTTTATCTTTGATCTTTTAGATGGTGTTTGTTTTTTAAGAGGTGTTAAAGTCTGAAATCTGATCTCATTTCTAATTTATAAGACGTGGTCTTAAAGTCTTAAATTTAGATAAGTAAGATTGTTTGTTTTTATATCTGTAGTTTGAAATATGAATCGATCAAAATAGTGCAAGAATATAAAAGACAATAGTTTTTTACAAAAGTATAAAAGATAAATAGTTTCTGCTAACAAATATCTTCCAACCCCCAACTCAACCCAACCCAAACCATACGGGGTTGGTCGGGTTGGTACATTAAAGTATTTTCTAACCTTAAATATGTTATTTCTTTACTTATAATTTATTTTTTCGTCATCAACCATTTAATACAACTTATTTATATTTCTTACATATATCACATTAAGTTAATTTTCTCAATTTACATATATATGTCCACAATTACTGAACATACATACGAATGAGTTATATAGAGATGTGAGTAGATTGAAAATACATGTATATGAAGGGCGTACGTGATAGTGTAATTGTCTAATGTATATATTAATAAAAATTCAACAATCATATCAAATACAAGAAATAAAATGATACTGGGTTTATCGGGTTGGGTTAGGTTCAAATAATAGTAACCCAATATCAACCAAATACATACGGTTTGAAAATTTTACAACTCGATTACACATCGGGGTTGCTTCGGGTTGAGTTATTCCGCGTTGGGTTGGGTTGGATTGAGCGGGTTGATCAGGTTTTTGAGCACCCCTAATATGTATAATAGGATATCCAACCCGCTATATGAGCCGACTAATTTATCAGGTATCAGCATTTTAGAGCATCTGTAACAAATTCTTAAAATGAAAAAAATACGAACATTTTGGGTTTTTGTACAGGTTTTATGTTTTAACGGACTCTTCAAAATATTTCCCAATTGGTTAACAGTATACTAAAGCATCTTCAACGGATTCCCCAAAATACAGAATTTTAGATTTTTTCTGCTCTAATAACTTATTCAAAACCTTCTCGAAAATAGAAAGAATATGAGATAAAAGATAAAGTTGTGAGAAATATTTTATTCTTTTCACCAATAAAAGTATTTACAATCAAATGAGAGAATAAAAATAATATTTTATTAAATATAATTAAATATTTTAATAATTAATTAATGTGTTTTTAAAGTATATAATATTTATATACATCAAATGCAACAAATAAACTCATACACCTTCTTCACCTATGATGATGATTGGACTCCTGATCTATTTGGATGTTAAAGACTACGATTCCGCTAGACCAAAAGCCTGTTGGTATAATTAATTAATGTTTTACTCTTCAAAATGGATAATCTGTTACAATTTAATGTAATTTCTTTTTTAAGATTTTGATTTTGAAATCTAAATCTCGATGAAATTTTGGAGATCAAAAATGGAATAAATTAATTTGTTCATAATTAGGAGTTAATAAAAAAAAAACCTTAAATCTTTTTCCTTCTTCTTATTATTTACAACATGAGCAAAATAAGAATATAATAAAAAGGCAAATTACAAGAAAATGTAACGTATTTTAACTTAATTCATATTTTTGGTAACGTACTTTCAAAACTTTCATTTTGATACCTAAGATGTAAAATTTTAAATATTAAGTACCCGGGTAACCGGTTGAAGCATTGACCGGTTCCCTTGCTGATGTGGCGAGTGATATGATATTTGTCAAATGAGAACTTCATATGTTGTGATAACTGTAAAAAAAATTTAAGGTATTGTTTCATATGATTTTTCTCCATTTAAGGCTAATTTTAATGTATTGATTAATATATATTCGCTTTACAATGTGTTTGCTTCATATGAATTCTTTTCACAATGTGAAACTTTTTTACGTGTAACTTTCGTTTCACATCAGAAAAATGATACATAAATTGATCTTACTGAAACAAGTATTTACAGCTCAACACCTACACTGTTGTGAACTATAATCTGAAACACTGATATCACACGGTTATCGTTACAAGAAAAAGTTATGATATCATACATTCCAGATCGTTACCATGTAAGATTTTTTACCATTTTTTCCTCGTTTTTTCTTTGACTTCAACAAACTCCGCCAGCTGTATATCAACCACTGCCGTTCTCGATATATAAACCTAAAACCTAAAGAAATCCGTCACAATCAGTCTTCTTTCGTTATTTTGTCCACCGCAATCCATTGTTTGCCAGTACCCCAAATCAACCAAGCACATTTCAACAGGTCAGTATTTCTCTAAACCCTGATATCATACCATCATTTCTATATCATCATACAAATGTACACATCATAATTGTTCAAAATCAAAGCCAGTAATAAAAAAACAAGGAAAAGGGTATTCATCGGTTAACTTCAACTATTTCCTTTACATCTCTAACTGCATTATTACAGATGTAACAAATCTAAAAACCGACTGTTCATTCCTTTCAATGCATATATCGTTTGTTTCATCTTTAAATCTTTGTTTCAAAAACCTGATTTGAATTCAAATAAAAGATTTCAAAATCGATTCAAATAAATTTTCTTGATAATTTTCTTGGATTACTTAGATAACAAATTGACGTTGGTTTATATCAATCTTGAGGGTTAAAGAATCAGAAAATTGTGGGATTTTGAAGCATTACGTATTTAAAGAAAAGGGTACAGCAGAATACCCGCAAAAATCCAATCTGTCATTTCCCGTACTTTTCGTGTTCTGAGAGAGAGAGAGAGAGAGAGAGAGAGAGAATCAGCAGTCCCTCTGTATTCAAATATCGAATCGTTTTGCAGATATAATTGCCATAGAATTATTCTGGTTGAGTGCTATTCGACTAAAACCCACTGGAATTCCTCTCTCTCTTAACCCCTGATATCATTCTGCTTTAATTGTTGGTTCGTTCCTTTTGATATTCCACTGGTTTTTTCATCGTTTTGTTTGGTTTTTGTCGAAGATAACGGAGACCGATAGAGGGAGAGAGAGGGGGAAGGAGAAAATGGCGAGCAATGGAAATGGAAACAATGACGAACAAACTGCTGATCATTTCTCATTTGCGAGATGGTAAGAAACCCATTTGGTGTAGAGTGTTTTTCTCTTTCCTAATAAAATTTTCTGTTATAATTATTTGATTTTATAAGGTATGAACATTACTTGGATTGAATCAATCTGTATTTGATCAGATGAAGTGAAACAGTTTAATTGGCGTTTCGTTGATATCAGTCCCTTTATGGGTCCTGATGGTTTGGTCCGGAAATGTGGTGGTGGCGGTGCGGCGATGGTGGTTGTTTGTGGGATTTTAGGGGACCTAGTGATGACATAGTTGAACAATTTCAATTTTGTGGTTTCATAGTAAGATTAAACCTAGGGCTGCACAAAGTGAAATCAAAATGAGAAAAAGTCTAACAAACTCAAAATGACTTCTTTATTGGGTTTTTTTGGCTTGGGTTTGTTGGTTTTTGAGCACCCCTAACTAAACCCACACCATGAAGGAAAATTGTATAAATGAATGAAACCTATCTTGTTTATCAAAGCAAAACTTATGTTTTTGACTGTATTTTGTGAGTGGTTCAAGTTGTTCGAATGGAAGTTCTTCGATTACGAATATAAGTTACAGAGGATACCTGAATTAATCAACCTTTTGAGTACAAATACTGATCAGATAAACTGGATTGAAGTTTCCTGGCTTAAAATGGAGTTCGTATATGATAGGATCATGTAATGTTGGTTTAGGTTTCTCATGTTATGTGATCCCCCTGTCATGAAAATTGTAACATGTACTATGAAAATTCGGAATGCTTTATTTTTGTCAAACGTATTGATTTGAGTCCAGTAGATTCTCTGTTTTGTGTTACATTAAAGCGTCTTTTAGATATATGCCAATTTGCCAAAGATGTTGCAATTTTCGTGGGATGAAGGGATGTCCATTTTTTTAAAAATTTGTGGAAGTAATGCAAGGACAATTTAGATCTTAAATGTGGGTCAAGTAATTACAATGGGATCTTATACAATGGGATCAAGAATTTGGGACGAACCCGAAAGAAGAATAATGGGAATTTTTGTGTAAAAGAATAAGTTCTAGTCTATTAAGAAAAAAAACTTAAGTATTTTGTTTGGTTGCTGATTATTTCTTGATGCAATACTTTGTGAATTTTGATCAGCTATCAGATCGAAGCATTAGAGCAAGCTATGAAGCAGAACACGATAGTGTTCTTGGAGACTGGATCAGGAAAAACATTGATTGCCATTATGCTTCTACGTCGCTATGCACATCTTTTCCGAAAACCGAAACCTTTTATTTCTGTTTTTTTGGTACCCACTGTGGTATTAGTCAAACAGGTAATGTCCCTTTGACATATTTCATGAATTTGATCCCAACATGCATTTTTCAAGCATAATCATGAGAGTCTGAATTCATTGTTGTGTTGGCTTAAAATGTTGTATAGCAAGCTGAGGCTGTTAGAAAGCACTTGGATCTTAAAGTCGAAGAATATTGGGGAGAGAAAGGGGTAGATTACTGGAATGCTGCTGATTGGAAGAAGCAGCAAGATGAAAATGAGGTATGAGTAGTCGGTTGTTTGACTTATTTTGTTGAGCAAGCTAGTTATCATACTATATCTCTTCGAAAACTGCGATGTTTGCTTTGACAAATAGTTTAATAGAAGACCTTGACCAATGGTCAAATACCAACAATACCCTATGAGAAAATTTGTGGATCACAACCAATCTCACCAATATTTTTTCGAGCATGTTTCCGGGAAAATAGGTAAATTGTTAGAATAAAGGAAATGTTGCATTTTTCTTTGGGACGGAAGTTACCATCAAGCAATTCGACGTCATGAACTTTGAACTCTAGTGCTCTTTACTTAACATATTCTCATGGTATAAGAGCCAAGGTCTCGACACCCTCTCGACACCCTGGGACAATTGCGTCCATCTACCTTCTATTGGAGAGAGTGTGTTGCAGTCCTACATCGGCTAGACTTGGGCCATTTCTTATGTATATATGTTGGAACCTTCCCTTTCTCCTCAAGGGCTATTTTGGAGAGTGAAATGGGGGTTTCACATATTCTCACATGTGTAGTATACTAGTATCTAGTATTTTTATGTAATTTATTAAGGGATAAACGTCAAACTAATTCTTCATATATGATTTAATTGTACATTGTTTCATAATTCATTTACTTCTTGTATGGATCATGCTATGCAGCTACTCGTTATGACTCCCGCCATTTTGCTTGATGCGTTGAGGCATAAATTTCTAAGCTTGGATATCATCAAGGTGCTGATATTTGATGAATGTCATAACGCGAAGAAAAGACACCCATATGCACTAATTATGACGGTGTGTTATGTTTCCACACCCTTTTGTGTTCTTTGCGTCTTAGTATGATCATATTTTTAATATCATTATTAATTTTCTTCATTAACTCTTTTTTTTCTTGAGGTTTTTAACCCTAATTGGTACTAGACGAAGGATTGTGTAAGGTGAAATGTGTAAGAAGGGATTTGGACCCTTGATCACTTTTAATCTGAAACAACCAATGAATTGCGTGTTAGAAGGGAATTGATCCAGTATCTCTCATTAGTGCTGATCTAGTGGTTCTCTTCAATTAGGATTGATCCAAGGGTGGAGATCCCTTCTTACCCTTCTCACCATAACTTCCGTTCTCACCGAACCCAACCCATTGGGACTATTGTCACATAGATGTTCTTACCTTCTTTGAAAATGTGATATAGGAGTTCTATCATCGTGAGTTACATCTTGGTGGTTCCCAGCTTCCCAGAATACTTGGGATGACAGCTTCACCCGTGAAAGCAAAAGGTGTGGATGGATTGCATGCCACTATTGTTTAAGTTTTGTACTTTCTGTTCTATTACTTTTCCTATTATTTTATAACATATGAATCCTATAAGTAGCTTGTTTTTTGTATTCTAGTGTCAAACTCAAGTTCGGATTATTGGAAGCAGATTGACAAACTTGAAACTCTGATGAATTCAAAGGTTCTCAATTATGCATTTCTTTGTTATTAATTTTTCAAATTATATCGTTTTCTTTAGCTATGCAAAATTAGGATCTATGCCTCTTTGTTTTGACCATTTAATGGTATTATATATTTTAATTTGCTGTGCCAATTTACACGGCATGAGGAGAAATGTAGATAGGGTTGTTGGTCTGTTTACTTTTGATGTGAGTAGAAGTAAAGGTAGGAAAAATGGAGGAAAATGAGGTAAACACGGAAAAACTTGTATTTTTGGTTGTCCAAATCATACTTGTATACTTTGTAAACAGAACTCTCTCTGGGCCTGTTTGTTAGCAACTTAATGATCTTAATGGAACTCATAGCTTATTTGGTCAGCTATACATTACTGTTTGGTAGTGGCTTAATGATATAGAAAGTGGCTTATTTAGTAAGCTTCTAGAGGGGAGCTTTATGCAGAAAGCCAAGGTTTTTATTTCCAAACATGTTCCTCCCAATTAAAAAACACTCTCCTTCTATCTATGAAAAAACCCTCCATAAATAAAAACCTTCTCAATCTATGCAGACAGATTAATCCATACAAACAACTTTATCCATACAAGACTTGATGGAAAACCAACCAAACAGCCCCCTTTTCAACTTGTTACTTGTTTTTTTGGATAAAAGGGTCGGAATCCCTTGGATTAACTTGTTTATTTGAATCTATGCATACAAACAACTTTATCCATACAAGACTTAATGGAAAACCAACCAAACAGCCCCCTTTTTTCAACTTGTTACTTGTTTTTTTTTTAGATAAAAGGGTCGGAATCCCTTGGATTAACTTGTTTATTTGATAATATTGACACATGGCAATTCTAATGGATGAAGGTTTATACATGTGCAAGTGAATCCGTATTATCCGAGTACATCCCCTTCTCCTCTGCGAAGTATATGTTCTACAAGAATGTGGAAAGTCCTTCTCACGTGTTTGAGGAGTTGAAAAGTAATTTGTTGATCTTAAGAAATAAGGTAATCTTGATCTCTTTGGAAGATCCCAATTCCCAACTAACTTTCTTGACTTGTATTGATTCCTAGTCAAATGGGTATTACTTACAAATGAATAAGTTTTATTCACAGCATAATTCAGCCATCAGAAAATYAAATCTTTCGGAATCTTCAATGGATAATGCAATGAGAAGGTTGTCGAAGTTATCTTCGACTTTTGAATTTTGTTTAGACGAATTGGGCATTTTTTTGGCCTCAAAGGTGTGTTTTCAGACTTCTAATCTTTTAATCGAGTGATCGACTCTTGAAGTCTTTRTACTTCGCTTATTGGGTGTAAGCAAATCATCKTTCTTGTGAACATACAATAAAAAAAGATAACCCTTTTTGAGAAAAAGCRGAAGTTTGTTGTAAATGGTCTTTTTATCCATTTACATTCTTTCAGTTTGTTGGAAAATCTTCAATCGTTGCAAACTATATTGTTTTTTAGCATTTCAACAAGGATGATGATTAGTTTGAAGGAAAAAGTCAAATATGATGCTTCAAAAAGTCATTYACTTGCTTTTAGTTTGTAGCATTATGCATTTAATCTTCTAACAAATACATATCATTTTAATAGGCAGCGGAAGCATATTCATGTGAAGCTAATGACCTCTTTTCTTGGGGGACGTTGGATGTACGTRGTGAGACAATTGCAAGGGAATTCTGTAAAGATGCCAACACAGTTTTCACCTCTTATATACCCRGTGGTAATGAAGACGTACATTTAAAGCTTCTTCATAATGTTACCTATGCTGTTAATCRCACCATTATAGTGGTGCTATCGCGGTTATCGGTCATGGGACAAATAACAGTCCCATGATTAGCGGCGCTATTGACYGCTAAATGACCGCRTTTTGAATGCAAAAAAGCAGCCRCATARCCACTACTCATAGATAGGCTGTTTTGGTGTTAAAAAAATAATTTTGTGGGCTTTTATTTAGGATTTGTGTTCGGTTTTATTTTAGTCCAACAATATCAAGGCTTACACCATTATTTTTTATTTTTTTGGACTAGGACACCATTATTTGACCTCTTGGTTTGAATAAAAGTATTCACACTGTTCAAGTATTTTTATTTGGACTTGGACATCATTATTCTTGAGTATTTTCTATTGAATACATAAAATATCTTGAGTTATGTATGCATACATATAATTCATATTATTATATGAACTGCTATTTTTGGACTGCTATACCACCGCTTTACCATCGTGATWACCGCTATTTWTGATCACGGTCGTGACCGTGATTTCATATTTTGACCGCTTCTTGAATCGTCATCAACTTATTTTTTCACAATCTTATTATGACTTTAACTTACATTTTTGGTGAGGTTTAGAATGGTCGATCACTCATATTAATGAAGCAAGTGTGAGCATCGGCTTACTATCAACAAAAGTCATGTCATTAATTAAAGCTCTGGCTGAATACAGGTTTGCGCCACATTTGTGTGTTTCTTATTTTTGAGTTCAATATTTGTGTAWTGATTTGTAAAAATCTTTAATTTTTTTGTAGGCATGTTGATGATATGCGATGTATAATCTTTGTAGAGAGGGTGATAACGGCAATTGTACTTAAAAGCTTACTAAATGAGTTGCAATYTTATTTATTTGGTTGGAAAACGGAGTACACGGCTGGGAACCMTTCCKCCMTGCAGTCACAAAGCCGGGGAGTCCAAAATAAGATTGTTGATGAGTTTCGTAAAGGAAWGGTATGYATATWTGTTGTTTGTATTATAGTTGGTGTTAAGTGCCCTCAAAAACTGTGATTAACTCAAAAGGTTTGCTCGTGCAACGCAGTGTGATATATTTCGATTATGCATATCTTGAATTTGATTATGTTTATTGATTAGTTATATGAGTTCAAATATAAAATGTGTTTATCCTGTATTTGACTATGTTTATTGGTTAGTTATATGAATTYGAATATGAAGTTTTTAGAGCATCTCCTACAGATTTTCCAAAATAGAGAAAATGGAGATTTTGGGATTTTGGGCATGTTTTTTCCYCCAACAAATTCTCCAAAACCTTTCTCTAAAATGGAGAAAGTAGGAGAGAGAGTGTAAAATTCTCCAATTTTGGAGATGACCCTAGAAATGATTACAATGAGAGAAATGAAATTTTAATATATCCCCACCAATAGGAAACTTTAAAAATTAAATTTTTAGCGAGAGAAATAATAATTTATTAGGTGAATGGAATATTTTAATATAAAATCAATGTTATAATCTCTAAAATGGAGAATATGTTGGAGTTGAATGTATTTTTCTTGTAGAGATTTTTGAAGTTCCATTCTCCATTTTCGAGAAAGTTTGGAGGATCTTTGGTGCATCATTAACATGTAATCTTGAATTTTAAGTAACGTGCTTTGATAAATGTTACTTAATGCATTAAAAGTGGTTTTTAAGACTTCATCCAAATGATTTATAATATAGTATAGATCAGAAGAATGAGGAACTTAAGAAAAGGTTGTAAACTATTAGAAATATGTAAGCAAAATTAGTTAGTAGTTCTCTGAATTGTGCTTTAAGATGTATACTCTGAGTGCTCACCTCATATCCAATGTGCATGTCTTCAAGCATAATTTGGGTGCTAACATATAAAGTATATCTTAAAATGTTCAGTGCCAAGTTTGGCCTAGGTTGACTCTTTTTGACTTTAGAACTTCAAATGTTGACTCTTTTTGAGAGTATTTCATGGGTTTAGAATGAGCTTGAACCGTTTGTACTATCTTTACGTGTACAGGTCAATATAATTGTAGCAACGTCAATTCTTGAAGAAGGGTTGGACGTTCAGAGTTGTAATCTTGTGATCAGATTCGATCTTTCATCTACTGTTTGCAGCTTTATTCAATCTCGAGGTCGTGCTCGAATGCGGGACTCGGACTTTTTATTATTGATTCGAAGGTACACACTTCAAGAACTCTTGTTTAGTTTGATAGTTTATTAAAATATATAAAATTGCATTACATATGTTGTGATGCGCTTCATGTGAAATATACTATATAATTTTGGAAGAGACATCTAATCATTTTGATAGGTTAAACTAGTGTTTTGTAAAATTTAAAAGTAGTCCATACAGTTTATGTTTTGTAACTCTTTAAATGTTTTTGTTTTGTAACATAATTAATAATTTCTTGTGGGATTGTTTTGCTTAAATGCAAATAAGGTTTTAAGTTTTTGATGTTAAAAGTAACTCCGTTGACATTCAAAATTTAAATATATTTTTAGGGCAAGGTGATCATCAAATATATATACACACATATATAGGATCAGGTTTTGGGGAAAACCACAAAAAATGAAAAATTTAGGAACAACCTAGTAACTATTCATCTGCACGGTATGCACATGTGCATACTACAAGTAACTTGTTCGGTATGCACATGTGCATACCATACAGATGAAGGGTTAAGAGGGTGTTTCTTTGTTTTTTATTTTTTGGGGGTTTCTCCTGAACCTCACTCCACACACACACATATTTATATATATAGCTCAAATATATATACACACGTGCATGCACACACACAAGACATGTTAAGTCCCACATCGGCTAGACTTACCATTTCCCTTCTCTCCATAAGGGCTCTTTTGGAGAGTAAATCTGGAGGTTCCACATATTCTTATATGGTATTTGAGCCAAGGTCTATCACTCTAGGGACTTGACACCTATGGGCAATCTGTACTCGCCTAGAGTCCCACCCGTTAATCCCGTCTATCCTTTGTTAAAGGTGGCGTGTTAGAATCCCACATTGGCTAGACCTTGACTATTTCTTCACCATATATGTTGGAACCTCCCTTCTTTCCGCAAGGCTCTATAGGAGAGTAAATCTTGAGGTTCTATGAGACAAAAATTGAAGTGTTGAAATAGAACTCATGATTCCTTCACTTATAATCAGTTTGTTGCTTTTCATGGTTTTTAGTGGCGATGTAGAGACATTGAAAAAGGTGAACAATTACATGCAAAGTGGAAAAATAATGCGGGAGGAGTCTTTAAAAAATGCTTCTCGACCATGTCAACCACTCGATAGTGAACTTTTGGACGAAGTTGTGTATCGTGTTGAATCAACCGGAGCTTGTTTGAGCCTGAGTTCTAGCATTTCCATGGTTTACTTCTATTGTTCTAGGCTACCTTCAGATGGGTTCGTTCTCTACTCTTTGATCTTTTTGTCATTTACTCGATAAATAGTTCAAGAAAATTCTTTGACTATTTGTCATATATTCAAAGTTCCCTTCAATACCATCAACTTATTAACGCTAGTTTCAATTTTTTGGGTCTTTTTTGTTGATTATGTGCTTAATTTTAAGTATTCCATCATTTATAGGTATTTTAAGCCTTATCCAAGATTCGTCATCGATGAGGTTTCAGGAACTTGCAGCATCTCTTTTCCAAAAAGTTGCCCGCTTCCAAGTGTGCATGTTGAAGGAAAAGTAAAATGGTTGAAACAACTTGCATGTCTTGAAGCATGCAAGCAACTACATGTGATGGGTGCGTTAACGGATAAYCTTGTCCCTGATACTGTGGAGAAAGCCGTCGACCCACTAGAAACGGGTAAAAGTTAAATTTGGGTCTTAATTAGAAATTAATATTTTGTTACCTTTTTATCTCAAATAGTATTTTTTGTGGTTCCAGCTTATGAGCATGTAGAAGAACAAGTTCAATACATGCCACCTGAACTTATYGGGCAATTTGGCAATGATTCAACTAAGTTGTATCATTTCTACTCGATTAAGTTAAAGAAGAACTTTGATTATGATGTCCCGCTCCARGATATTGTGCTTGGAGTGAGCACTAAGTTTGAACTTGATGATGAAGAGATATCGTTTGATCTCGAGGCTGATAGAGGCAGCATTGGTATTTCTGTGACGTATACAGGAACGTGTTTGCTTACGTCTGAGCAGGTAATATGAAAATTTCGTGACTTCTTTTTGGGATGTCACAAGCAAATTGTCACTTTCTATTACTAGATTATTTGTACTTCCTCTGTCCCAAAATAAGTGTCTATTTTCTGAAGTAAATGTCTCATTTTGAATGGTTTAGTCCCCAAACTATTTTTTCGAATGGAAAAACCATTAAACTTTATCATTTTGAATGATCAAGTCCTTGAACTTTTTTTTAATGAAAAAACCATTAAAATTTTTCATTTTGATTGATTGAGTCGCTGAATTTTTTTTTTGATAAATAAACCATCGCACTTTTAAAAATTGGTTACCTACATCCTTTTAACCCAAACAAAGTTATAGGGTCTTAATCATTCAAATTTTGAAGGTTTAATGGTTTTTTCATTTGAAAAAATAGTTTAGGGACATGAATCATTCAAAGTGAGAAAGTTTAATGGTTTTTTCATTCAAAAAAATAAGTTTAGGGACTAAAACATTCAAAATGAGAAAGTTTGTTGTTTTTTTTTTGAACTTTTCCCTTGCCATTATCATCATTACAAGAATTGATTGTAGAGTAAATTACGTTTTTCGTCTCTGTGGCCTGTGGGTGTTAAAAATTGCGATTTTCATTCTTGTGGTTGAGAAGTTGCGTTATTTATCCCTATGGTTTGTAATTCATTGCTATTTTTGTCCTTATGATTTACAATTTTGTTGTTGTTTTGGTTCCTATGGTTTACAATTCTTTATTGTTTTGGTCCCTTGTGTTTAAAGGTAGGAATTTAGTCCAGGGACGAAAGCAATACATTGCAAACCATAGGGATGGAAATCGCAATTTCTAAACCATAGCGACGGAAATGAAAATTATTACCAAACCACAGGGACGGAAATCGTAATTTGCTCTTGATTTTATTATTTTGGGTCCACTTAGGATTCTAAAAGGCGCATCGTGGCGTAAGACGCTTCTCGGTCATTACAATAAGGCGCGACATCTGTTTTTGTTTTCACTTTCTTTAAAAAATTAATTTTTATTTTATTCTTTTACCTTTTCTGTTTTTACACTTAACTTCAGATTTTACATTTTTACTCATTTACCCAATCGCATTACTTAAAGTTTCATGGATTCACATATTCACAAGTCACATATTCACGGTTAAAACRAAGTTGTAAAACCCTTTCAAGTTCTATTTTGAATATTTGATCACAAACGCTTTATATTATATACTAATATATATGATTTTTCTTCTGATATGAATGCAAATTGTTCAATATCATTATCTCATTGAATAATAAATAGAAAACATATATATATGTATATCTATAATTATACATATGACATACAAATTTGCTGCCTTATATCAATCCATTTAGAACTTTGGGTCCACTAGAGCCCTTAAATCTTGTTTTGATTGAAAGATATTTTTGATATTTTCATGAGATTGAAGGATAATAATTAACTAGAAAAAGTATTGAAAAACAWTTGCACTTTGTTCACATAACATTTTCTTATCCAGATTCTTGTGAATTTGTTTTTCAGATAATATTATCGAATCGATTTCAAATGACGGTGTTACGAGTACTTCTTGATCACTCAATCATGAAGTTGAAGAATTCTTTTGATGCATTAAGATTGAAAAATGATCATGTGATGTGTGATTATCTCTTGCTCCCTTCGAATGGCTTACATAAAAATCCATCGGTCATTGATTGGAAATCCGTTCGTTCCGTTCYGTTCCCTTTTGGAAGCGCAACAAAGTGTTCTTTAACGGGTGATGATCATCAAAAAGTGCACACGAAGAACGGGTTAACGTGCAGCTGTTTGGTGGAGAATTGTTTAGCATGCACTCCTCATAACGGGCGKTTGTATTGTACTACCAAAAGATTTCTTGATTTGAATAGTAAATCAGCCATGCAAAATAAGGAAGGGGAAGCGATTACTTATAAAGATTACTACAAAAAACGGTACTAGTTCTATCTTATTAAGGCTCTTTACTTTTTTGGGTTTGAGTAAAAGTAGCTTGTTTAAAAAATGCAGGTATGGCATTGACTTGGAGCATGAAGAAGAATTATTTTTTTCTGCGAGACCACTTTTTTCAGTTCGAAACCGTCTTCAACGTGGCAGATATCATGAGGAGAAAGGTTGTGTTGATGGTCTATTTTTTTCAAAATCTTTATGTAAATCGCAGCAACTTTTTTCCCAAAAAAAACTTTCATGTGAAAATTATCTATTTGCATATTTGTCATCGTGAGGGAGGTTTATTTAATCTTTTTGTGAGTATTCATGATGAATAATGTGATAAAATRTTTTTGGGTTCCTAAAATATTTAAAATTCCTAAATGAACCTGCTTTTATAGGATGGATGGAGTAGTTTTTTCCGAATGGGAGTATTACCTTCTGTTCCTAAGTTTGTTATTTATTTATGTATTTATTTTTATTTGTTATTGTTGTTGTTTTGCAGAAACAAGTAGGGCGGGCGTCGAGTTGCCTTCTGAACTATGTKACATTCTTATGACACCAATATCTATAAGTACCTTCTATTCGTTCTCTTTTGTTCCATCCATCATGCATAGGATCGAGTCTTTGCTTCTTGCTCTCAACTTGAAAGAGATGCATTTAGGTCGTAGTCGGCCAAATGGAAATATCCCCACTCTTAAGGTATGCATTTTGTTTATTTCATGAGTATTTTTTTATACCACCTCTGTCTCAAATAAATGAGCCTAAATTGATTGTATAAAACTCACTATTGAGGATAATAAATATCATGGTCACAAATCATTTTAAAACAATTGTATTTTTGATAGGTTTTATTAGAAAAMTTTGGAATTGTGGAGCCTAGTTAGGACACATGGTCACAGATTATGTGAAAATATCATGTATTTGATATGCTTTCTTGAAAGTTGCTATTATTGTATGATTGTTAAGGCTAACATGTATGCCATCCAACATAAAACACTTRGGACCTGTTTGGTTTGCGGAATTTGGTGGGATTTGGAATTGGGTTCCATCCCAATCGTGCGTTTGGTTTAAAGGGAAGTCGAGAATTGAAATCCATTGAAATCCCACAAACATGGAATTTAGAAATCCCATGGGACTAGTTTGGTATTTTTGTTGGATTTCATGGAATTTGTTTGTAATAACGTTTTAAAATAYGTCGAATACACTTGTTTTGTAGCAACCAATTAATAACAACGTAATTCRGTTAATTTTATGATCTTTTATAAATTATTTATAAAGAATGGAATTGCGTTCTAAGTCAAGGAATAATTGATGGTTCCCATTTGTTTCAATTCCATTGCAAATCCTTCCACCAAATCCAAACTAAAAAACATTCCATCAAACCAAACTGACCCTTAATGAATTCATTACATTTGTTGAATTAGAGGAGGTTTAGGGGAAAACACCCCAAAAAATTAAGAACTGAGTAACGCCCTGGTAACCATTCGTCTCTACGATATGCACATGTGCATATAAGTAATTGGATCCGTTTCTTGGTTTCTTTGCACATCTCATACKTTACAAATTTCTTGCAAATTACTTGTATGCACATGTGCATACCCTCTAGATGAATGGTTAGGGTGTTTATCATTTTWTCATTTTTTTGAGTTTTCTCCTAAATCTGACCCCTGTTGAATTATAGTATGTTTATATCAAAAATATAAAAACCATCATCAAGAACAGATGCAAAATAGCTGAAACTGCTAAAAAAATCGTAAAATTTTGTTTTATTTGAGATGAAKGCAGTGACTTCTTTATCTGAAGTAATTAATATGCCTTTTGTTGCTTTATTTCAGGTCTTGGAGGCAATTACAACCAAAAAATGTCTTGAACCGTTTCATTTGGAATCCTTCGAGACTCTAGGCGATTCGTTTCTYAAATACGCTGCTAGCCAGCAGTTATTYAAAACTCTTCARGATCAACACGAGGGGATCTTGAGTTCTCGAAGAGAGAAAATAATATCAAATGACTCGTTATGCAAATTGGGATGTAACAGCAAGCTTCCGGTAATCTCTCTTTTATACCCTTTGTTAAAGATTGGTGATATAATATCGTACTCCCTCCGTTCCAAAATCAATGTCCACAATGAAAATGGCACGTGCTTTTAGGAATGTGTAATTATTACCCTTTTTAAATAACTAAATGACGCTTTTACCCTTGATAATAGAAAGAGGAACTTTCACCATCTCCTAATTAAAGGTGGAATGGGAAAATGGACTCTTATTTTGGGACGAACTAACATAGAAGTCCAAGACATATAATTTGGGAGGGAGAGAGCATCTCAAAAAAGGGTATTTTTGTTTTCAGGGATTTATCCGCAATGAGCTTTTTGGTCCCAGTTTCTTAAGTTTTTTTTAAATTACATCTTACTCCCTCCCTTCCAAAATCGATGTCTACAATGAAAATGGCCCACTGTTTTAGGAATGTTAATTATTACACTTTTTAAATAAATAAATGACACTTTTGCCCTTGATAATAGAGAGAGAGAGAGAGAGAGAGAGAGAGAGTCTTTCTCCATCTTAGAATTAAGGGTAGAATGAGAAAATGGACCCTTATTTTTTGAACAAACTGGAGTAGAAATGTGGACAGTTAATTTGGGATAGAGGGAGTATCTCTTAAAAGGGTATTTTTGGTAATTACTTATTGTTTTCCGGGATTTATCCACAATGAGCCTTTTGATATGAAGACATGGGTCCTCGATAATAATATACRAAAGACCGAAAAATGCATCCCATTGTCTTGAGTTTTCTTGTTTATATCTTTCTCAATTCCAAATCAATGTTCACAGTGAAAATAGCACTCATGATTGCACTTGTTAAATAACTAAATGACACTTTTACCCTTAATAATAGAGAAAGACTTTCTCCATCTTATATTAAGGGTAGAATTG